AAGAACTATAATTTTTATCCTTATTGTCCATAGATTCATGCCATAGTAGGAGACTTCTAAGTGACACACCTTTCGGCATGATTCTTTTGGGTTGGATTGTCTTAACAGGGTAGAAATGAAATTGATGCAATTGGTAATTTGCATAGATGAGACGTGATTGGGATGAGTAATGAATTGTAAGACCTGCTTTGTCGGTGCAAACATATCTTATGGCCATGATGCTTCGTGCAGGGGTGGAACTTGATTTAAATTGCATTAAATTTACTATAAGCGTAAGCGTAGTAGCTACTTCGTTGCAGCCAGCATGACGATACCAGTAAATTAGCAGGTCATTTAATACGCAGAATAAAAGTAAAGCCTCCAATAAAATATTGAAGGAAATGTGACTCATAATTGTGAGTGTTATGTTATGCAAACCACAAAATATATTAAATATTGCTTTTTTTAGTCATCCCCAATTTTTATCCTTGCCAGCACAGCAAAGCAGCTGTATCTTTAGTGATGCAGAAGTTGCTCGAAACCTCGTTGCAAAAAGTCCGCTAACTGAAGATTGGGCAACTCCAAGTCCAGCGTACGTCGTGGCGTCACTAGCGATACGTAACACTCGTATCGCGCAACATTACCAGATCGTTTGAGAACAGCAGTTTTCATGCCACGCGTGATTTGAATGACATCGCTTAAAACAATGCTCTGCTCCATTCGAGCATGCTTACCTTTGCCAACCCGATCAGCTGGGTTCATAGCTTTCTGCCAAAACACTCGCTTGAAGCCAAGGTCAGTGTATATGAGTCGTGGGTGTGGACGACCACGCCGACCGTGTTTGACCGCCTCGAAACCGTCAAGTAATAGTTCTTTAAAGGTGCTCAAATCGATAGACGCAGCAGCTGTCTCTAAAGTCATCGTATTCATGCTACTTTGAGCAATACCGCTGGTACTGCTTCGAGCGGTAAGGATATCATTTCCTTCGATGATTTGAACCGACGACTCAATCACTTCACTTGGTTTTAAAAAGCTTTTCAGTCTGCCTTTTGGCGTTGGCAAGGGTCGTAGCTTTGGACCTGGGGGAGGAGGGAGAGAATTATCGTCAATTAAACTTCCTGGCTTGGACGGCAGAACTGGCAGCGGTAGTGCCGCCATAAACGAGGAAGATAACTTATTGTCAAGTGCTTGCACAACGTCACGCTCATTGTCCTCTGGTTCAAGCTGCTCAATTGAACTTTTGCGTTGATTACCATTTATTGGACTGTTGCTATCGTCCCAGTCGTATCGGTATGTTTGTATCCCATCGTCGTCGTCCGATTCGTCTGGCATTTCTAGAATGGTCTCGGGGGATAGTCGAACTGATGCCTTTAAAACCGCTTTTTCCATATTCTGTGTCTGGTTATTGCTTTCATGGTGAGTGTTATTGCTGACTGAATATTTCTGTTGTGGCCTTTTTGCTAGCGAATGAAGCAGCACAGAAATCTCTTCCAAAATGGCAGCCGAAGGTTTAAAAGCGTCAATTCGATGCAGTATACTTTGACAAGAAACAAGCATTTCATTTGTGGTCTCTCCGAAAGCCTTATATGCTTCGAATCGTGGCAAAATCCGCTCCTCTGTATCATCGCGTCGTCTGGTTAGTCTCGACCGGATAATCGGATCCCGGGGCATGCTGTCGGGTGAGTGATATACAGCTCCAGTCACCGGATCAAAGCGGCGACCAGTGATACGAGCAATGCATTCAGGTCGGGGTAGATCGAGCAATATCACAATTGCAGGACGAAGTTGTGGCTTCTCCGTTAGCAGCTTTGCCTGGTCAGCTGTCCGTGGAAAACTGTCAAGCACCCAACCCATCCGACCTTGGGCCAAGCAGCTGGTAATCTTGGCTTCTACCATGTCAAGTACCACTCGATCAGGAATCAGCTTGTTTCCGGCAATACAACGTTCAGCTTTACGACCAGCGGCTGTCTGCATCTTGATATTTTCCCGCAACAAGTCGCCTGTGGCAACGAGCTCAAGATTGAACTCTTGACATAAAAGCTTGGCTAAAGTCGTTTTTCCTGACCCCGGAGGCCCATTTAAAAAGAGTTGAAGCACCATCGAAGACCGCTTGAAAATAGGAAGAGAAATGTCGCCGTGATTGTGCGATGCGTGGCGCAATGCGATGCTGCAGCCACACATCGCTTTTAAATAGACTGATATTAATAGGAGCTGCATCTTTTGAAACTCGGATGAATACAATTTAGCTAGAAAGGGTAGGTGACGTCTAATGCCAGCCGGCCATTCATCGTCTACGAGGACCATGGAGGTTGGTGTAGCAGTCGAATGAGAAAAGCTTAACGCGATACAAGTGAACGTCGTCAAGGTACACTGGAGATCGTTGAGAGGATTGGGTCTTGCTTTACCACGACCAGACTTGAAGCCACCGGTTGCGTTGAGAAATTCAATTGTGTATGCGTAGGCATCGCTTACTGACACATAGCGGCGGAGTCTACGCTATTGCTTCCGATCATAGCATCAAGATAATGCGACCGCTGTCACAGGAATGATACTAAAGCCACAAATTTCCACGTCACTTGGGTCATTATCATTTGTTGTGAAAATACACAAACATTGCTCAACTATTAAATTATGCGATACGTGTAGCCGGTTACGTATTCTATCACGATGTAGACACGGCTTACATAATATTTTCTTACGCTTACAAAGCTTAATGTGAAGGAGAAGTAAAACGATAAGTTTTCGATTCTGATGAGGGCGAAGACCCCTTTGGTTGAGGTCATGTGGGATGCTGACGCCAAATTCTAATGTTTGACGACAAACTCTGTCAGCATCCCGCATGCATGGCCGAAGTGGTCATTGTAAGACCGGACGAGGAGATAAACTCGTCATCGCTTCTGGATGAAGCTGTCTTGGAGGACACTAAGAGAGTACTGAGCGCACGAAGTGGATCGTCGATCCTACGGAATCCCTTGGATCCATACTATCTTTTGCTAAAGGATTTTCAAGACGTCGTCTCCAAAGACCCGCCTTCGGTTCTACCTCCGGACCGAGGTGTGCGTTATGAATCGACCTGGTTCCGGGAGCCAAATACTGCGTAACACGCCCATGGTCCTTGTTCAAGGAGCAGTGCGACGTCATTGACGCCTTTTTTTCGTGCGAAGCACGAAGCAGAGGACATTTTCTTGTCCGAGTTTCCAAACTAGAGCCTGTAGCAGCGCTACACACACTGCCACCCGCGTAATGCGGCGCGGATCAAATCCGTCACTAACGACGTCACCGTCGTGACGTGAGCAAGCTCATAATACGATCTGCGTGACAACGCACCAGTCAAACCATTCTGCTTTCCTGGTTTATGCTTCACCTCGAAATTATATTCTGCAAAGAATGAGAGCCATCTGGCCATCCTCTGCGAGAGGCGAGGCAACTTTGTTACAGTGCGTAAAGACGCATGATTTATATAAATCACAAACGGCTTTGAGCCAAGCAGGTGCACCCTGAATTTGACAAGTGCAGACTTCATCGCAAGTAATCTTCGTCGTGGACTGGGTAGTTAATATCCGCAGCCTCAAGCCGGCGAGATTCGAGAGCAATCGCCCGATCTCGCCTGTCGGCGTCTGCTTGCAGCAGTACACAGCCGATGGCAAAGTCCGAAGCATCACAGACGACACTAAAAGGACGATCGGGGTCTGGCAACACCAGTATTAGTGCATAAAGGGGGCTGTCTTTGACACTGTCAAAAGCTTCCCGATGCTCCTAACACCATTATATATCCTTCCTAAGCAGATTTAACAATGGCCGTGCCATTTCCGCAAAACTTGCGCTATGCTTGTACAAGTGGCGAGGCCAAGCCCCTTGTGCAAGTAATTTTTGGTTCCTTGGAACAGGCCAGTCTACAATGGTCTTGTCCTTAGCGGGATCCGCTCGAAGGCCACGCATTCCAATGAAGCATCCAAAAAATGGAATTTCTTCTGCGCCAAAGATGCACTCGTCTGCATTGGCGTACAGTTTGTTCGTGCGCATGCACTCGAGCACCGCTTTTAAATGGACGATGTGGTTTTCCTCATCAGTCCTTCCGTGCTCCGCACGACTGTGCAAGAAAATGTCGTCAGAGTATGCCTGTGCATACGCGCTGTGGGGCCTAAACAACTGTGTTACAAGACGATTGAATCTTGCTGGTA